ACGCTAGATTGTCATGTGCAAAGTGAAAATTAAACGCTATGTGGTCATCCAGTTAAGATTGGAGTGATATTCTGGCATCTATAAAGGTTATGCTGGATAGTGTCATTTTCTTATCAGTAATGAACCAGGGATCAGTGTTCCACTGTTTAGTATTTTTATTCACCTGCATATAATATCCCACAGAGTCCATTATACTTCTATTATGGTATAACCATCACCCATAATGCCATTAGGCTTCCACTATGTTTTAAATTAAGGGATGTAATATCTTTGTTACTTAAAATCATGGATAATTATCATCTTGAATTATCGGCATCCTTCTAACTATGGCTGTTAAAATTAATTCTTCAATTTCACAAACTATACCTATTAATATTTGTAATCTCTAACCAAATAACTACAAATAAATACTTTAAATACCTCAAATATTTGTGGATAAGTCAACATAGAATAAAAAAAAGTTTAAAAAAAAAGAGAAATTACAGTTTTCCTTTAAGTATATAAAAAAAATGAAAAATAATGAGGATTAATCTGCATCATTAAAAGTATGGACATCTGTGTTTTTCCTGTTAGTAGAGATTACTCGGTTTGTCACATATTTTAACATCACCTGATATGTTTGGTAGTCCGAAAAATTATTACAGATGTGTTCTTGAATTATCATAACATTAAAAGAATCACTGTTTAGCAAGTACAATCTGAAAATTCTGGTTAGATCTCTTTCATTAGCTGTCAAGAGGCAGCACAAGTCATTAAGATTATAGTGCATCTCAAAAACGTTATGAAATTTGATTTTAAAAAAAGTAAAGTTTTAATTAAATGCTAAGTCATTGATTGCCTGGAATGTAAATATGGTCCTGGTTTCACTAGAGTTTGTGCTATAAATATTAGGATAATCCGATAGCTACAGTGATTGGTGAGAAAAAGCACATAGGATGTTAGGTCATTTTATCTATTTGTATTTATTATGCTCATTCAATTTTACACTAGAGTGGTTGGAAGTATCTGTAGCCCCAATCTCCATCCAATTGTTTTACAGCAGTTCTGTACAATCTTTAAATAAGTACTGAGTTTCAAATAGAACGTATCAAGAGTGGTTGTTGATAGCCATGTCTTTTTACTTTTAAATCTAGCAATATAAGAATAATTACATGATTTTGCTAATACATGATGAAAAGTCATGATTTTATTAAAGACACAGAGGCTAGTACTGCATATTCCTTTCTTTACTGTCCACCAATAGCAGCAAAGAATACAAACAAGCCACTCCCCATCCAAGCCCCACTATATTAGCAGGCACCTCCCTAAGATCTTCCTCTTTCTTGAAGATGCGACACATCACCACAAAAAAGTCCGCAAAACAGGAACCAGCAGACGTAATCCAACAGCAAACAAAGCATTGAAGGGCACATGGTTAATTTAGAATAGCGGAAACAATAACAGGTAGGGATGTGAATGGGCAAAAATTCAGTTCGGTTCAGCACTTCTGAAATTCAGGACTTGGTTCGTTAATTCGGCACTTCGGACATTCATAAGCATCCCTTTCTTGCCACCACAACCACTTACACATCTGTAGGGCTTCCTAACCCTAACCTTACCCCTAACCACCACTTACACATCTAGGGTTAGGGGTAGGTGCCCGGACTGCCACCACAACCACTTACACATCTATAGGGCTCCCAGTTCCAGGAATTAGCTTATTGGTTTAGATTCCTGTCATCATTTACGTAATTTTCCCACTTTTCAGAAATCTAAAGCACTTCGGTAATTCAGCAAATAGACACTTCAGCAATTTGGTTCGGCACTTCCTAAATTCGGCAATTCGGATTTTCGTAAGCATACAAATGTCCTAATTGCCGAATTTGTCCGAATATACATTCGGAACGAAACAAATTGCACTTGTCTAATAACAGGAAACAAATCTGGAGCAGAAATTTAACCACTCCAACCAAGAAGACGCTTCTCAAAGACAAACGGAAAAAAATCTACCAGGTCCAGATCAGGCAGTGAAAATATAAATTTAACAGGAGCCCAAGAGTTAAATCAGTGTCATAAACCAACATAAAGGCCATAGAACCTCCATCCCAAACAATTCAACAGTCCACACCCAAAGAGCCTATACATATATTACTAACCAAAACCCTGGAAAATATAATCCCCCACTTACCTTACCACGAGTCCAATCAAATACAAAAGGGGGGACAATACTTGCGTCCATGTCTTTAATAAAATCATTGTAGAAAATAATCCAGGCACTCCAAATTGTTCCAAATGATAGGCAATTTTTATTGGACCCAAGAACCACACAACGTTTCGACCCCTTAGGGCCTTTGTCTACTAATAGGAAAAACACAATTTTTATTGGACCCAAGAACCACACAACGTTTCGACCCCTTAGGGCCTTTGTCTACTAATAGGAAAAACACAATTGGCCCAAGGGGTCGAAACGTTTGTTGGGCCTTTCAAAAATTGTGTTTTTCCTATTAGTAGACAAAGGCCCTAAGGGGTCGAAACGTTGTGTGGTTCTTGGGTCCAATAAAAATTGCCTATCATTTGGAACAATTTGGAGCGCCTGGATTATTTTTTACAATTATACTTCATACATGGTCTCTTTGGTACTGGGACTGATCCAGCAGCACCCTGAGATTCCAATGCGAAGGGTTGAGTGCAGTTCCACCATCTATATATTTAACAAAATCCACACCTGCCTGGCCCAACATCCACTTCAACCAGCAAGGTAAAGTAGTGCTTGCTACCGGAGCAAAAGGAGCATGACAGAACAGAAAAAGGTGAGGTGCAAATGATCTTCATATTCTGGTCTGGTATGATCTTCATATTCGTGTAAGCAAGCCATCGGGCATAAAGCCGTCGCCAAGGGAAATGCCAGATGCGAAACTGACTTAGTAAAAGTCTTAGTATGCCTGGAAATATTGAAATTCACACCATCTGGGGTGTAGGTTCTAGCATCAAATTCCAAGGCATGTACATCCGACACCCTCTTGCAAGAGATAAGGCAAAAAAGACAAACCAAATTAGCCGACAAATGACGCAACAAAAGTTCCAAATTAGAAGGACAGGAATTGATAAAATACAAAACAACAGAGACATCCCAAGTAGAGGAATAACAAGAGGAATAACAAGGCCTGGGTGGATGAGAGAGATGGGAGCCGCGTAGATGGTGACACACCAAAAGGCGTTGGCCTGCGGGAAACCATCGAAGCCTTGATGTGGTCACAGGGGCTGATATGGGATCCACGTCCATAGCCAGGCACCAGCCAGCCCAAGATCGCCAAGCTGACCTATACGATCATCTAGTGATGGGAGCCCATGCGTCTGTCAACAATCATCAAGTAGCCTCCGAAACTCCATGGACCTCCCAGGGTCCCCGAAAATCCACCACGCTATAAGAAGGAAATATCTGTCCACAAGTAGAGGGTGACAACCTCTGGACGGGTCGCGAAGAATACCCATAAGGAGACCCATAAGACGGCAACAGCCTGGGACAAGCCACTGACATCTCCAGCAGCTTTGGGAACCAAGATTGCATCCCCCAAAAGGGGGCCACGAGGACCAGTTCAATGGTGTTGGATCTGAAGGAGTGTGCGAGGAAGCATGGAGAATAGAGGTAAAGTGTACAGGAGGTCCCCATGCAGGTCCTGTAGAAAGGCATCCACGGATGCTGGGTCCAGTCTTCAGCTAAAAAATGTGGAAGTTGAGTGGTGAGCTGCAATGTGAATAGGTCGATATCAAAAGGACCCCAAAGAAATGATACAGTTGAGAATACCTTAGCGTCCAATCTCCAATTGCTGTTGTCCAAGAGATACAGTGAACTCCAATCCACTTGGATGTTGTGCAGACCCGGTAGATTTTCCGCCTGGACCACCAAGTTCTGTGCCAGACAGAACTGCCAACCGAGCCAGTACCGCAGATTGGGTCCCGCCCATCTGGTTGATGTATCTCATATCTGAAATGTTGTCCATGCGGAGGCGAATGCACACATGTGCCTGGTCCCGTGAGAATCTTCGAATCACAAGGTAACCCACGAGAAGTTGCAAGGCATTGATGTGGACCTGGGACTCGAACTCTGACCAATGACCTCCCATCAACACACCTTCGCAGTGGGCACCCCAGCCGTGAAAGCTCGCATCCAAGTCAATGGTGAACGCCGGTTGAAATCCAAGATCGGCCAGCTGTTCCATGGATCCACTATTTCAGTTCGTCCCTCGTTTCGCCATCCAGTGTAACTAGGTCCACATAAGATGTGCCCTCGCATTGGTGAACGATCTTCAACCATTGAAGAACCCGGTAATGGTGAATAACCGGGAACATCGCCTGGATTAATGAGGCTAACAGACCAATGAGTCTTGCCAAATGATGCAAGGTGATTCGTGGGCAGAGGAGCACCCTGCAAAGTTCCTTGTGGATCTTGGTGGATGGAAGATTCACGACTCCTCCTTCTAATCCACGAGGAACCCTAGAAATTCCATGCCCCTGGATGGAGTCAGGCAGGACTTCTCCCAGTCTGGAGAGTAGATCCAGGGTCCGCTGCAGATTTCGCATGAGAAAGGAGTGCTCCTGTGCCATGAATAGTATGTCGTCTGTGATAGAATTTATCTTGATTCCAAGGCTCAAGCTTATAGGTGTCATATAATAATATCCTATATTAAAATTGGCTAACTTGGACTCAGGAAATGCTTGATGCTTAACACAACACTTAAGACCATATATGTCTAGTTCCGGGAGCAGAGAGCCCCCACCTGAGATGTCTCTTCTCTAATCTTTTTATTCTTTCTTACCTTGGAACTTATTTGTTATGTGTACATGATGTTCATCCCTATGTCTTATCTGTACTCCCTAGCGCTACATCTTTTGAACCCAAATCCCTTTCCTATGCTATTTCTAAGGATCGGCTCAATGAAGTGGTCTGGGTGCCAGGTCCCTCTAGTTTTAACCCTGCAGCTGAAAACATATGTTTCACTGAGATTGAATCCAGAGGTGAAATGCCTGAAGTATCTTCTCAAGAAGCTCCATATGTGAAAGCGCAAGAATTGGAGAAGATCATTTTATCTTCAAGCGGTGAAAGTGATGTAGACGAAGGAGATACCAGCAGAAGCCTGCATCAGCAAGACTCTGATGATGATGATGATGATGATGATGATAATGATAAAGAAGAAGAGGAGACTGTTCGACTGTCAGTTTATTTTGATGTTGCTGCTTGGCCAGTTCCAGTTCCAGATGTTTTAAGAGTGGACCTTATTAAAAGGGGAAGTGAACCTTTCCAAAATAGAGATGGGCCATTCAGTCCTGTTGAAAGGCAAGGAGAGAAATCAAAAGGGAAGAGTCGACAGCTGACCACTGCATGGTTCTATAAGGCTCTGCCTAATGGCGAAAAAATTCTTAGAACATGGATGGTGTACTCTCCATCAAAACAAAGTTTGTTTTGTTTTTGCTGCAGACTTTTTGCTGTTGATGACAAAGTAACAAGGACATCCAGTTTTGTTACTGGGTTTCAATTGTGGTGGAAGCTGAACCCAAAGGTGTCTGATCATGAGGCTTCTGAGCAGCATCTTACTTGTTTGGAGAAATGGAATACCAGGATTGAAGCTACAAAAATGCCCTGATCATGTCCATCAAACAACAGTGGACAGAGAGAAAAGGAAATGGAGGGATATTTTGCATCGCCTTTTGAATGTAACTTTGTTTCTGGCTCACCAGAATCTTCCCTTTCGTGGACATAGAGAGACCATGTCATCCGCAAACAAAGGCAACTTCCTGGAATTGGTAGAATTGCTCTCAAACTATGATCCCATTTTAAAGGACTATTTCATGAGGCTGAAACATGCTGTTGCATCTGGAAAGAGAATGACTTCCTATTTATCTCCAAAAATTCAGAACAAATTAATTTGTCTTTTGGGAAATCATGTGAAGGACAAAATAGTGGCTGATATCAAGAAAGCAAAATACTTTGGGATTCTTTTTGACAGCACCCCTGATGTGTCCCACACTGATCAGATCTGTGAAATGATCAGATATGTTCATATTGAAGGGGACAATATTGAAGTAAAGGAATCATTCTTGTGCTTCTTTCCTGTTGCTGAAAAGACTGCTGCTGAGCTCACAGAAAATATCTTGCAACATCTGGAGGAAGATTGACTAGACATAAGCCTTTGCCGTGGTCAAGGATATGATAATGCTGCAACCATAGCAGGGATTCATGGTGGTGTTCAGGCAAAAATAAAAGCGATTAATCCCAAGGCTTTGTTTATGCCATGTGCAAACCATTCCCTGAACCTATGTGGGGTGCACTAATTTGGAAGTGTTGTTTCCTGTGTGACCTTTTTTGGAACATTGGAGAGAGTGTATTCCTTTTTTTCGGTTTCTACACATCGTTGGGAATTGCTGATGGAGAATTTAGGTGTGACAGTGAAAATACTTTCCCAAACAAGATGGAGTGCTCATTATGATGCTGTGAAGCCAGTGAGGGCAAATTTTGAAAAACTGACTTCAGCCCTTGAAAAATTGTGTAATCCCAAAGAAAATGTGGACACAAGAGAATCGGCTCAGATGTTACTGTCTGCCGTATGTGATTTTTCTTTTTTGTGTTACCTTTCTTTCTGGTGTGAAGTTCTAGAAGAAGTTAATATCACAAAGAAATATTTGCAAACAGTCGGACTCACTCTTGAAAAGTGCATTGTGAAACTACAAGGTTTGAAAGCGTTTCTAGCAGATCAGTGCAGTGAAATTGTGGAGAAGGCCATTTGTTATGCAACTACTACGTGTAAAGAAATGGACATTTCTATGGAAAGAAGAGGGAGAGCAAAGCTCCGTAAAACAATGCCAGGAGAGAAGGCAAAGGACGCTGGTCTCACATTGCCAGAGGAAATAAAAAGGGCTATGTTTGAGTGCCTTGATCGTTTTCATCACGAGTTGGAAATTCATACCCAGGCAATTGAAAAAACCCTTTCAATGTTTGCTGTTATTCAGCCAAACTCACTGGCTGTGGCAACAGAGAAAGATATTCATAATTATACCCCAAAATTGACTGAGATTTTTGACGAATTCTCTAATGAAGACATCTTTAGGGAAATTGAACATCTTAGGAGGCATTTGGAAGCTGCCAAGATCAGTGTTGAAGAAGCAAAGAAATGGACGGCATTGCAGTTCCTGGAGTTCATTGTTAAATGGGATTATTGTGAATCTCTGCCAAATTTGTCACTGTGTTTAAGATTCTTTTTGACTCTGTGTGTGTCTATTGCTTCATGTGAAAGAAGTTTTTCCAAATTAAAATTGATAAAAAATATATTTCGCTCAACCATGAGTGAGACATGGTTGACAAATCTGGCTATACTTTCAATTGAGCATGAATATGCAAGGAACAGGCCCGGACAACAGGCCCGGCAAATACCCGGTGGACCACGATGGCCGTGGGGCCGAGGCCGGCAGGGGAGATCACAGAATCTCCCCTGTCAGCTCCTGCAGGGCCAGCGTTATCCGAATGCCAGCCCTGCTGTGTGCCTCCATGAGCTGGTGGGGAGATCAAAGATCTCCCTCACCAGCCCACGGGCAATTATAACCGGCCGCCAGCTGGGGAGGGAGGGAGGAGAGGACCCGGTGGAGCTCTAACCAGCAGCTCCGCCGGGTCCTCTCGCGGGATTCTGAGCATTGCCGCGGTTACCGGCTCCTTACCTGAAGGCTAGAGTTCACACTCACCACCTGGACCACCAGGGAAGGATGGCAGCATGGCCCCCCTCATGGCACCCCAGGCAGAACGGCTCCACCTCATTGCAGAACGGCTCCTCCCCCCCCCAACCAAGCTAAAGGTAAGAAGGGAGGGGGGGATATAACATTTTAAAAATTACTAATAAAAAATATATTTAAATAAATACATTCACAGACACACACAGCACCCTCAGACACACACAGTGCACCCCAGACACACACAGCACCCAGACACACACAGCACCCTCAGACACACAGTGCACCCAGATACACACAGCACCCTCAGACACACAGTGCACCCAGACACACACAGCACCCAGATACACACACAGCACCCCAGACACACACAGCACCCTCAGACACACACAGCACCCACACACACACGCAGCACCCAGACACACACGCAGCACCCTCAGACACACACTGCTCACTCAGACAGACACTGCTCCCTCAGAGAGACAGCACCCTCACTCACACAGCACCTACACACAGCACACTCCCACACATATACAGCACATACACACACACACACACACACACACATATATATATATATATATATATATATATATATAATAAATAAAATAACCCTCAGTGAGTTAACAGACAAAAAAAATAAAAAACCTAGACTGTGACGGCAGATACAAACACCCTCACACACAGCATCCCTCTTACACACACACACACACACACTGCATCCCTCACACACACACACTGCGCCCCTCACACATACAATACGTCCAAATATATATATATACACACACTACAGCACCCCTCACACGGCACCACTACACACATTACGCTCCAGATGCACGCTAGATCCCTTACCCTATATGCACTCTTAATCCTCTACACACACACACACACATACAATCTCCTATACACACTCTGAGTCCTTTACACACTAGATCTCCTACACACACACACTGCCCCTAGCCACACATATTACACCACAAACACAAATGAAATTGACCTATTTACACAATACCACACCACACTCTACACACACGCAATCCCACAAGCAGGCTCCAAACACATGCACCATACGCTTTCCTGGCCCTTTTGTCCACTGATATCCCACTTGTGGAGAAACCAGAGACAATTTAAAAGCAAACAGAGCGCAAGCATGTTATTAAATTTGCTTGCGCTGCGCAGAACAAATACAGGGCCTTTTTCTAATGCTAGAGTTCTTCAGCAGGGCTCTGCGCATTGAACCAACATACTCACTTTGAGAGGGGGCGTGCTTGTCTCTAGCCCCGCCCCCTACTTAGGGAGCCGCTCTGATTGAAAAATGCCCGGGCCTAATTTTTTTCCCAGTCCGGCCCTGGCAAGCAAGATTGGCTTTGATGATGTAATCGATAAATTTGCAGAAATGAAGTCTCGAAGGCAGCGGATGTGAATCATTGCAAATTACCTCTGCCGAATGGACTGAGTGGTCACTTTGGATCTGTGTGTTTTTTTGCTTATAGAAAGCGTATTAGCTGTTAAGTTAATGTTAATTATTTAAATGTAATTTATTTCTAACTTAATTTATTTTTCATAGTTCCATTTTTTCAAGTTGATATACAGTTTACAAATTTGTGCAATAAATATTATTGAAAACATTGAAAAGAATTGTGGGTGTTTTCTTAAATTTTTATTATGGGGGGGTCCGCCCCAGGTGCTAAATGCTCTAGGTACGCCCCTGCTCTGAAAGCACTCAAGGGGGATTTATGGCTTTGACTATTGTCAAGCATCACAAAGCACAAGGAGCAATTAAGAATGTTAAGAGGTTACTTAAAAGCTGGCACTCTAGACCCAAATAAATGGAGTGAATTTATGACAAATTACAGAGGTTGGTTAGAAGATAATGACTTAGTAGAAGTTGCAGAAAAATGGCATGATACTGCAGTTGAATTAACTAAATGTGGTTGTAGAGAAACCACCAGAAAAGGTGTACCTTATTATCAATGTTTTGGACCTCTAGGGTCCCAGAATGGGCAAGAAGGAGGGTAGTCCACCAGACTTAAGGGAACCCCTAGTTGCCCCCATAGACACCCATTAGCTCCACAATTTACTACTCCCATGATATCCAAAGTTGAGAGTGTATACCATGAGAAGAGACAGCCGAGCTCAGGTATCCAATACTGGGAAGAATCTAAGCCCTGGACACCCAGTGAACTACAGGTAATAATACAGCAGCTGCCAGATGTTGAAAAGGCCCCCTTAGCTCTAGTCCAGTCTCTATCCACTATTCAAGCTACTTACCAGTGTACTTGGATGGATTTAAAACAGATTGTTGCCCTAAAAGCTGGCCCCATTTGGGCTAGAATAATTGCTAAATATACTGATGCCCCTGCTAATCTACTAGGCAGTGATATATTATCTGCTCTTAGTGCAAATATGCAGTATAGCCCCACTGGAAAAGTAACATTGTCTGTGCCTTTGGAGGACAAACAAATGATATCTCTTTCAAATGTTCTGGCAACTCTCACTATGCCCAGCCATGTGCCAGAACCTACCATTGACTTGTCCTCAATCCCTGATTCCTTATGGGCTACAGGGAAGACAGATACAGGCAGACTCTCTGTGCCCGCAGTCAAAGTGAATCTCCTGCCCGGAGCCAAACTTCCCTATCAAAAACAATACCCCCTAAGCCCAGCACAGGAAGATGCTATTTCCCAATATGTGCAAGAGTTTCTGCAGGCATGGGTTATTGTCCAGACCACCTCCCCTTGTAACACACCATTGTACCAAATTAAGAAAAAGCAAGAGAAAGGGAAACCTGTGGTCTACCTTATGGTACATGATTTGAGGGCAATTAATGCTGTAACTGAACTCATTGCCCCTAATGTTCCCAACCCACACACCTTGTTGGCACAGACACCACCTTCCTCTAAGGTATTTACTGTTATTGACTTGG